CAAAAAAGCGCTAAAGGACGGTGTAGATATGCGATTTCTGTACAGTCAATTACAAAACCATCTGCGTTATCGTGCGAGCACGCAATATTTAGAAGGGCTTGAAAGCTGGTTGTACGTACATCTACGCAAACATAGCCCTAGATCACAATGACAAAAATTTCAGCCATGTGGCTAGTTTGGTTGCAGAGTTACAAACATCGCGTTAATTCCCATGTATCCTTATGCTAAAATACGTGAAAGCGGAATTTCCTCTGGTTCGCTCATGGACAGGGAGTCACCTTTGCAAATTCCAAACTCCTAGCTTGCCTGATCCGAAACGTCGTCTTCCCGCCAAAACAACTTCGAGAACTAACCGGATGTGAACATTCATTCTATGCCCGAGGACTCATCCGTAACGGTGAAAAAGGTTGCTAAAGTTTCAAATTTACAGCTTTTGTAAATCAGGAAATCAAAATATGTGAATAGGTACAAACACACACACACACAAACAGAAGACTTCACAATGTGCGCTTTTGCAATGGGTAAATGCACGAAACAACGAAAAGGTAAGAAGGCGCTTAGTATTTGGCCAACAGAAAGCAAAATCTAGCTAAACAGCTTCTAAATTAGCAGGGAGCATAAATATACAGCTAGAAAAAAACGCCTCTTTCAATACTAATTGATCTACAAAACGTTGAATTCAGTGCTAGAAAGTTAAAAATTAAAAAACCGACACAAAAACAAGCGGCAGGCGCGCCACTTCGTTCATAACTTGGGGATAATTCAGGATGCATAGCTATATGGTCTTCGATAGGAGGCTTATTACGTCATAATAAGTTAAAACCGAATTAAAATTTGGAAAGAACAGCAGCGAGCGGCTTACATTTAATCATCGGCATATTCTTGGTCAACGATATTTCAGTCTTCAGGTCTGCAAAAAATGATTCGTGAATGTGACATAACCGATTTACTGCAAACAAAGACAACCCATAACGTACTGCAAACAAGTGACACCCATGAAATCAGCGAAACTTACATTACTTTCCTCCATTTTGCTCCCTCATTTGTTAATTATTCAGATTTTCAAAAGATGCACTCCTAGCCATCGTAATTTCTATCAAATCATCAAAATAAAAGGGAGTGAAAGTCAGTTTTGACGAACAGTTGGCGCCGTGTTTGCAGATGATGCGCACACCGTCTCAGTTCATGAGAATTTTTAAAGAACCACAGATGCAAAACTGCTTTTAGCTGCATTCCAGAACAGCCCTCCAAACACAAAGTTATCAGCACTATGCTCGCAAACTGACTAACATTTATACGAGCGTAAGCCACGGGCTACGAATTATATCTCGCCAAGCTCAGAAAGCGAGATTCGAAAACAGAAAAAAGAAACGTGAATGAAATGTGTTAGGGGAAAAGAAGTACCGTAGGGCTCCGAGATATCTTCACGCTTTAGGTGTTGTCGCCTCCTCGGTGGCTGCGGTTTTTCTTTCGGCGGCCTTTCTGACAGTGTCTGTTGTAACTCAAAAATCAACGTCCTCAACTCCAATTCCCTCTCGCCTCGTTTCAAACTGTAACAGCAGTCGCATAATTCCAAAAAGTCAACCAATAATCAAATTACATCGGAAATCCACAACAGCTGCCAAGGTAATCATTAAACTGGTAGGGATAACGCGGAGCAGTGAGAAAATGACCACACAGATGAGCTAGAAGAGACGGTTCACGCATTTTATAGGGAGCATGAGGTATAACAAACAACAAATGAGCAGGTAGAACAGGACCCGATATGATACCAATTAGCTTATTCTTGCATCGCAGCAATACTGCAAGCCAGCAGGCTCGAAATAGGCTTTTTTGTTCCCTGCCTTACAGTTCCGAATCGAAACTGATTCACAGCAACTGGCATCTATTACAGCAACACCAATAACAGCTCAGAAAAAAAATAACAAAAGCTTGCTTTTCTTCGCGCTGTTGCAATTCTGAAGCCTTTTGGGCCATTTCGCGGGCTATCGCCGACATCTCTTCCATCATACTTTTCCGTAATGTGTACAGGCTGCTTTCCACAAACTGAAAAGCTACAAAATTCAAAATCGGATTTAGATACAAACTTGCTTCTAGAAAAAATTACAGCGTAATAACATGGCACAGTGGCCAGACGAACCGTTCCCAACAGTGAGCGTTGATGACTTAGAAACCCGTGCAGCGAAAAACCGATCACTCAATTACGCTTCGGGTAGAGAAAAGAAGGGGGAAGATTCTGGTAAACTCGAGGATGGAGGTCTGGAAATTCAGAGCAACT